CTGGCGTAGTGGGTATTGAACAGGCAGACAGATTGGATGGATCTGGGTGGTGAACTGATACATGACTATGCAGATGTTGTCACAGCTCTTTGGGAACAAGCAACAGAATCAGTAGAGAAACAAGATTATTATGGCCTGGAGAGAATGAGGCACCAGAGTGTAACCAGGGGGTCTGACCGGCTCACTACACTCAGAGGAAAGGCAAGACGGACATATAACCATATTGTGATCGGTACCATCAGTATTGGAACTCTGCACGGGCTGCTGAAGATGAGGACGGGGCAGGCATGAAAATGCCCCGAGTGCTGTGATGTCAATTCTTAACTCAACTCAACTCGGCTGCTCTTTAAAAATAGGTTTGTACTTTTTGTCTGGTTTTAGCACGATTAATTAATCAATTCATAGGTAATGATCGATATTTACACTACGAAGATATTAAATGACCTTTGGTCTTAAGCAGCGTCTGTGGCTTAGGCGTTGCCAACGCGCTTTGTAATTCAGAGGGTCTGGGTTCGATTCCAGCTGCCGGCGATTTGGCAGCAGAACGCTTTGCGCTGTTCAACGGTGTTATTGAGAACCGAACGTCTAGAAAGCAATGACAAACTACTCAACGTAAAATTGCCTGGTGAGTTCACAAAGGAAAAGCTGAGGACCAGTTTCCATGCTTGTGGGTGTATTGGGCACATAGGGCTAGCTCTATATTTTATAGACAAATCGGCACTTGGTGGGGGATGTGGTCAGCATCACGTTGGCCGCCTTTACTTCCAAGGACTTTTCTGGTGTCCAATCCAAGGCTGGGTCGACCTGAGAACCAAAGACGTTCGAATGAAAGTCGAGCTACTCTAAGTTAGACACAGACAGAAAATACAGAGGCTAGTTCTGCAACGTCCTAAATCATGGTTATTATTGGAGTCGAAGAGTGTCAGGAGACTGAGAGATAAGATGTCAGACAGTTTGACATCATGTCAGAAAAGACAATATATAAAAGAAATGACTGATAGAACATGAGACTGAAGGATTTTGATAGACATGCTTGAACAGTACGGATAATCAGAAGAAGACGGCTATTATTATAAAGTGAATTCTGACGGCCATCATACTCGCCGAAAACTGGAGACATGTTGATCACGTGACCATAGACAACAAATATGGCGGAAGAATTGTCGTTGTACAGATTTCATTTGTGTCTGGCACATTTTTCTGTGAATGTATCTGTTGCCGTGTAAGGACGACCATTGTGTGCTCTTCCTATGTGTTGTTTATGTTTCGAACAACGGAAATAATGTATGCTAGCTCTTAGTGTTTATAGATCACAATGACCTCGATGTAGCGCCATCATTCGGCGTGCGATCCGAATTTTAATTTCAACAGAACTTTATTAATATAATTTTTCACACGTTACGGTTATAAATTAAGTGAATATTTATTATTTATTCTAAGTGAATTTAAATCTGAGTACAGGTTTTCGCAACTTTCCACCCTCCCCTTTCCAAGAACATGACTATAACGTTATATTTCATATTTCATTATTTACAGGTAACAGTATCTACTACACTAATAACTTACTAAGATATGTTTTATAATAATAATATTAATAATTATCTAATTCTATACATACATACACACATACATACATACATACCTACCGACCTACCTCAACACTGGGATGTTGAGCGAAATCATAAATTCTGAGAAATCTGACATTTTAATGTTACTTAAGCCAGTTTACTTGCAATTATGAAATACAATTTAATTTCAATAATTGGCTATCCTCCGAATATTATGGCTGCCAAAAACAGGGCCTCAGTCACATGTAAATTGCAGACTTCCGGCGACTATCCACCACCGCCGAGAGTATCTCCCACGCCGCTACGCACAGCGTGGATTGGGGCTAAACTAGATGGCTGGAACTCATGAGCAAAGCTGCAGGCGATGCGGAAGCTGCTGCTTGTGAGTCCCAGCCATCTAGTTTAGTCCCAATCCACGCTGCGCGTAGCGGCATAGGAGATGCTCTCGGTGGTTTAGTAGTCGCTGGGAGTCCGCAATTTACATGTGACTGAGTCTCTGTTAGGGTGTTTTTGTGGCCGCCATAACATGTGGCCGTTATTCAGAAGATAGCCAAATAATTTATAGAAAGAAAGAAATTCAGTTCTGGTATTAGAAGTAGAAAGTAGCTGAAAATTGTGCGTGGTTTGCAAGCAATTTTTGACAGTTCTGAAGCCACAGTAATATTATGGGAGATTTTATATTTTAATTTTATATACTAATTCTCCCCAGTGGGTTCCAAGGCCCTGTTATAGGGAAAACAAGAATAGACCCACTGCCTGCCCAAAAGCATGTCGTTAGAGTTGACTAATTGGGAGTTTTTTTCAAAGTCGGAGTGCATCTGCCTGAGAGACAAGAGACAAGCAGTCTGCATATCTGTAAAACGGATGCACACGCAACACTCCGGTTCTGGAACAGGACTGCAGTCCAGAAGTGGATGAACAACCAAAACTTTCCGCCAGAGTTTACAGCTAGCAAATGCGAAGAAGAAGAAGAAGAAGATATATTAATTTACTAATTATTTGATTTCTACTGGTAAAAATTACCATGAAAAAAAAAGAGATATGGTCTTCTGACTTCAAAATAAGCTGAGACCAGACATGATCAAGGAATGTTGCAAACATAATACTTTAAGATTGAAGGTTGGCTGCCAGGGAGGAAACACTGCAACACATTAGTAGTTTTATTTTATTATGACATTAATAGTATTAGATTAGCTGCCGGTGTGACAAGAAGAGAGAAAATGAGATGTCTTAGGAGAGCTGCCGGTGTGACAAGAAGAGAGAAAATGAGATGTCTTAGGAGAGCTGCTGGTGTGACAAGAAGAGAGAAAATGAGATGTCTTAGGAGAGCTGCCGGTGTGACAGGAAGAGAGAAAAGGAGATGTCTTAGGAGAGCTGCAGGTGTGACAAGAAGAGAATAAATGAGATGTCTTAGGAGAGCTGCTGGTGTGACAAGAAGAGAGAAAATGAGATGTCTTAGGAGAGCTGCCGGTGTGACAGGAAGAGAGAAAATGAGATGTCTTAGGAGAGCTGCCGGTGTGACAGGAAGAGAGAAAATGAGATGTCTTAGGAGAGCTGCTGGTGTGACAAGAAGAGAGAAAATGAGATGTCTTAGGAGAGCTGCCGGTGTGACAAGAAGAGATAAAATGAGATGTCTTAGGAGAGCTGCCGAAGTGACAAGAGAAGATAATATGAGATGTCTTAGGAGAGCTGCCGGTGTCACAAGAAGAGATAAAATCAGGAATGAAGAAATTAGAAGACTAGGACTGAAACCAGTCACACAGTTCATTAAAGAACAACAAATTAGATGGTTTTGCCTCCTGAAGAGAATGCCCTGTTTCCAGCTGCCACAGAATGCCACGCTGAAGAAAAATAATGAACACAGATCAAGGGGAAGACCACACAAGAGATGGAGCAACATCATCAGGAGCAACCTAACAGAAATGAACACCAGCTTGTACAATGCATGGAAAAAGTGCACTAACGATCCTTACATCTCCCTCCAACACCTTACGGAGGTAAATAATGGTAGAGAAGAAGAAGAAGATGATAATAATTATGTTGACATTAATAGAAAAATAGTAGTTTTTTTTTATACACGCACTGAAATCCATATATGTTCATGAGTAATTTCTGGTTCGATCTTGTTTCGTTCTGGTAATAATCAGTCTATCAAAGTGTTAACACTTAATTGAAATAGCTGAGTGGTTTATTATCTTTACAAATCATCTGGGCATTGTCACTGAAGCCGCATAATTTCTGGTGCGGCGCTGTCTGCAGGAGACCAGCTGTTCTGCAGAGAGAGACTCGGAGACTGAACCGTGAATGATAACCTAGTGCAAAGAACTCAGTGATCAGTCCTCTGGAGTTTTCAACTTTTAATTCAGAACTATTTTGTTTTATCCCTGTAAGTCTTCCTTGTTTGTTTAATACTTTTCTTTTTTTAAATATTTTTGGTCCTTTTCCACTCCTGAAAAATTTGATCATTTGCCATTTCTTATAATACTTATATATTTGAAAATGTTCCATTCTTATTATTTTTGGTAATGTCTAACACTTGTATATTTATATTTGATGATTCCACTTACATCAGTGAAATTATTATGCTGATCCTGCTGAACTGAACATTATTACTGACGACAGAATTTATTTGCTATGTATAAAATAACTGTTATGTACAAATAACTTTTTATATATATATATATAAGCAAGAATATAGTTGTATTTGTTTATTTTTCAGGTTATATAATGTCTCATGTTGGAGATAAGTATAACTGGTGCAGCATTCAGACAATCTCCAACTGCAGATACACACTTTCTAAAAGAGGGGCATGCTGAATACTAGTTACAGTTTTCAAAGGAAACGTGTAGTCCCACTGTATCTTTAGTTGTGAATATTCTTAATTTTCTCAGCATTACCTATCTGCACTGTGTTTAAAAAAAAAATGACGGCAGTTATATCCTGCTTTTATTGACATGGCTTGAGCTTTCTGATCACCATGGAGATAAGATTGTAAAAAGATTTCACATTGTCATTGGATGTTAAGTATTTGCAGAGTTGTCTCATTGAGTTACACCTGAAGTATGGCGAGCGTTAGCAGCCCTTGCTTTGATATGGTTGGTCAAGGTGACACAGATTATCCTGGGGTAAATGGCCATTCAGGCGCACATTCTTCTGATGTGGCAGGTCATGACCTCACAGATTCTCAAGAAATGATTGGTCATGAACACACAGAGTCCATGGATGTAAGTGTCGTTCCGAGCACAAGTGATTCTGTGCTTCCAGACAGAGATGTTTTAGTCGGTCCAAGCACAGATCCAACAAGCGTTTTCCATGAGAGTATGGATGCGATTGACCACACAAAGTTATCTGCTACAATTGCAGTTGACCTTGATCATGCATATACAGAATCAACAGGTGGGTTTCATCGTGCACAAGCTGCTCTCACGGACATGGTCCATCAGACACCTGTTGCTTCTCCTGACAACATAGATGTGGACATCAGTGAGGCTAGATCACATACACTGGAGCATGCAGGTTCAGCTGATGCTGATGTAGAAAACCATGGAGACACCACACCTCCTGTGTTTGGCCTTGAAAGCATCTCTTCTACAAATATTGTTGACTCTGCATACACAGACACTCTAGATGTGGCTGACAATGTGGTTGCATATTCCACAAGTGTGGTTGATGATGCACACAGATCTGTCACAAATGTCATTCCTCAAGCAAGCACAGGTGAAGCAAATACAGATCCAGCAGAAAACCAGGCAGATACCAGTTCCATAGATGACACGACTGTCCATGCAAGCAGCCGCCGGATAGACTCAACTGTCAAGACATCACATGTACCTAGAGGTTCATCTCAAACCAGTCACCAGAGAATCCCTACGCCTGTTGAGACATCACATGTATCTAGAGGTTCATCTCAAACCAGTCACCAGAGAATCCCTACGCCTGTTGCAGTCAAGGAAGTTGGTGCTTCTTTGCCAGATTCCACACCATCCCGCAGATCATCTCGTAAAAAGCAAAGTACTTTTAGCAGTGATTTTGAGTATTATGCCCTCGGCAGTATGAAGATAGAGATAAAGTGAGTATATATATATATATGTGTGTGTGTGTATTTATGTATTTGTATCTTTATATCTCTACATAAAATGTATATGTATATATATAGGGTTGATAGAACTGTCAGTTTTTGTGTGTGTTTATCTAAACAGGGTTGACAGAACTCGCAGCATAGCTAGATAAGTTAATAGAGCTATCAATGTATATAAAAGCTTGACAGAACTGTCAGTATATATAAAGGGTTGATAGAACTGTCAGTTTGTGTGTGTGTTTATATAAACAGGGTTGACAGAACTCGCAGCATAGCTAGATAAGTTAATAGAGCTATCAATGTATATAAAAGCTTGACAGAACTGTCAGTGTATATAAAGGGTTGATAGAACTGTCAATTTGAACTGAGGGCTGATGGAACTGGCCGCAAATTTAGTGTCTGAGAATGATGATGATTGACAAAGATGGCAGATTGATTGTGTAACCCCTCTCGTCTCTTGCTAGTGTTAGAGGTCAGCTCCGACAGAGTTGTATTGTACAGAAGTGACTGTTGTTGAGAGTGGACATAGAAGAATAAATGAACATAAAATACAGTGAGAAGAATGGCACCCAGAAATACACACAGACCAAAGCCTTTATCAAAGAACAAAGCACCACTCTAAGTTTTTGGGGAACAAATTTGGGCAGTATGGAAATATGAATAGTCATCATCATGTAGCAGGTCCTTTATGGAATGTCTCTATCATCACAGTCTGCCTGAAGGAAACTCAGTCTCTTGCCAGCTCTCTCCTGCCTCAAATACTTTCATATACAAGGAGTGACTTCGATCCTGCGACCATCTTTGTGTTGGTAGGCCCATTCCTCTGCTTCCTGGTACCATTCCTTCTGCAATTATGTTCTCCAATCTGTCACGGCACTGGATGGGGCCAAAATATTTCAGAGTTGGAGACAAGATGCTGTTTGTTAGCCAATCTTCCTTGATATTCAGATAGAATTTTAGAATATCAGTATTTATTTCTAAAGCATTTCAACCCAAAAGTCCCTTTTTTCTTCCTTAAAGGCTGGGAGATAGTCCACGGCTTACATCTGTATGTTGCTACATAATGTAGTTGATTTTAGTGTTGGGGGGGGGGGGGTTGAAGTTGTTTTCTTGTTAGTTGTGTTATTAATCTGCCAGACTGTACACTTTAGGACTGCAGCTACTCTTGGCTGGTGGAGACGTTACTGTTGCCCCAGGTATAACTTCTCTTGGAGGTTGAACACGGTATTTGGGGTTAGCCCTGTTGGTTTGCAATCCAGATTTAAGTTTTATAATCTTTGTGGCAGCCCTGAGGGGAAAAGCCGCATACCTGCTACACGGAGACAGCTTGGACAAGCTGCCTGTATTCTTCAGCTTGGAAAGCCCTGTTGCACACAACAGCAGTATCATGGATGCTGTAAAACACATATCATCTTTGTTTGTTGGTTGTTGGGTGATATATTGGTTCTTAAGTGATTGTCCTAGAGCTGTTTACTGCCTTATAGGCAGTGGCTCATACGCAGCTCTATGATAACAACAGCCATAACACCGTCGGAGTGTACACATTGGCTTTTAATGTAACTGCAAAAAGGAACAAGTAGTTTGCCCCAGAGGGGCTGGCATTATCATACCTCCACAACCTGACTGAATGCTTTAAAATCGCTACCCATGTATTGCCCTGAGGTTGCTTCCAAGGCGTATCCAGGTCTGAATCCTAAACCTCGGATACTAGCTCTTTCCTGAGGTCATGTAATATACACCTCAACTGCTGTGCCTCTGCACGGCCCCAGATAGTCACTGAGCTGGTGCAACACCCGCAACATTGCTATCTTCTTCTTCTCCAAAGGCACTACCCTGTAAGTAACAGGTGATTGGATGAAAAGTGATTATTAAGAACATTGGACTACCAGTGCACAACAACTATGTTTAACTGACATCTAAGTGCAAAAACTAGAATACCATCAAGCTAACTAACAATTGCTGACTAAAGTTACACAATTCTCAAAATCCTATCTGTCACAACATTTCTAAATCAGCAGTAATCCCCATAATCACTTTCCTCTAAACCATTAATCCCTGGTTTTTGTCTCGCCAGCCATTCAACACTCAGTCAGCGGGTCTCTTATGAACGGTGGACTCTACTCTAGTCTCACACTTTCCAGTGGCCACCTCCTTGTGCTGTGAACACAAGGTCTCTTATGTGGTAATTTATTGATAGTCTTGTCAGCCACTATCATCACCTACAATACATCCATAGCAACACAGGCATCTTGCAGTGATATATTGATTGTTGGATGATATTTTGATTCTAGAATTATATATTGATTGTGAGATGATATATTAGTTGTCAAGTGATATATAGATTGTCATGTGATATAATATTGATTGTTGAGTGATGTTCTTTGTTTTTTGTGTTAACTTCTCTAGGCCAGAGACGACTTTGTCATACAAACCCAGACAGGCTACAAGTGATGCTCAGGACGATGACAGTGATGGGTCCAGCGAAAGTGATGATGATATAGATGATGACAAGATGAAAAACATAGCAAAAAAGAAAATTGTAGAGAAAAAGCACAAGGGGAAAGTCTCAGAGGTTGGGGATAGTGAGGAGGATGAGACAGACAGAGAGGTTAAGAGTGACAAGGGAAAAGTTAAAGTTGCTGCTAAAAAGAAGACTCAAAAATTCAGCACAATAATAAAGGGGAGCAAGAAGAAAGTCAAGAGGGAGAAAGAGGAGAGTGAAACTGATGAAGACAGTGGCGAGGACGTGAATGAGAATCGAGTCATCCCTAAGCTGCTGAAGGGACATAAGAGGAAAAAAGATGATGGTTTTGTTAAAGCTAGTAAAAAGATGAAGGTTGCAAGTGATCAAGAGGATGAAAGCTCGGATGAAGAGGAATCAACACCAATATCTCTCCTGAAAGCTAAACTAAAGGAGGAATCCACACCAATCTCCCAGCTGAAAGATAAACTAAAGGAAGAGTCCATTCCCATTTCCAAACTGAAAGCTGAACTGAAGGAGGAATCTATACCCATCTCCAAGCTTAAAGCTAAACTGAAAGATTCAGACCCTCTCACCCAGCATAAGAAGGAAGCCTCCAACTCTGCCTCCCCAGCTAAAATCAAATCAGCGGAGGATTTGGATGCCTTTTCCCTGCTTCAGGCTCAGATCAGATTGAAAAGAGAAGTGGAGAAGAAAGCCTTGAGCTCACCGTCTCAGGGTCGGAGTTTGATGGAAAGATTGGCAGACGGCAGTCTTGATTTGAGTGTGGATTGTGATGGCTCGCCGTACCAGAGTCAGAAAAGAAAACTCCTGTCTATTGATGAAAATGCCACCGATGAAATTCCGTCTAAGGTATGTTTATTCACAATTTTTATTGTTGATATTGGGGGGGGGGGGGGGGGGGGGGGGGTGGTCTGGTGGTCTTGGACATGCTTCCGCTTGGGGTGCTGGAGGTCCCGGTGAAAGCTGATTTTTTTTACATGGACTTCTAGAAATTGCTCTGGGTAGTGAGATCGGACACCCATGTGTATTATTGCCCACGTAAAAATCCCTTGGCAGTTGGAAATCAAAAAGAGCACCCTAACGACGCTGCCCGGGCAAAATTTGGAGTAAAAAATTGACCCCAAATATTTCAGGGTACTAGAAAGTGTGTGCACTGCGCTGGGATTTTTTGGATTGAGGTGTGAGTTAAAAGTAGGACGGAGCACACATGGGACTACTATTATGCCAGGATGTTGATCCATTGTTTAAACCTTATCTTAATTGTTTGTACTCTTTTGTGTGTGGTTAATTATGATATGACTTATCAGTAAATGTATAAACATATTTTTGTAGATTGAGAGAACACGTTGACTGTTACCTGTAGTAAGAAATGGTCAGAATCTTATACTACAGCACATGAGAATGGTTGCTTCTAAACTGGGCATTTTTCTGTTTGTATTATCTTTTTTGACGTTAACTGTTTCGGTATACGAGGACATTTACATTAATTATAAATTGACATATGATGCGTTTCTTGGTACTCAGAGAGCTAAAGAAAAGTCTGAAAATTAAGTTAAGTGTGTAAAAAAAATACACAGCATGGTTTCTGTCACTGAGTGTGGGATTTAAGCGCCTGTCTAACACTTGTTTTTTTACCTTCTTCTTCTACTTCTCCAGTTACTTTAGCAAAAAGGGGGGGGGGGGTTGATGTACGGTTCGTCTGTGTGCTCATTCTAATGTTTTGTGTCAGTTTTGTCTTCACCTCTTTAAGGATATTTATGATGCTAGCCATAATTCCATCTTTGGCATGGTCTCCCCTTGCTCCGTGTTCATTAAATTTCTTAGTTGTGGGTCTCTGTGGCAGTTGATATCTGTATTTTCATCAGATGATTAAATTATCTCATCCGTTTCTTAATCAATTTCACTAAATTACAAAACTGTTTGTTAATTGTGTTATTGTAGGTGCTTGTTTCTGTGTGTTAATCCATGTCTTCATCTCGCCCTGCTGTTCCATCTTCTTTAAACTGTTAATACTGATTTATGTAATATTCTCTAGACAGTGAACAGATTACTGTTTGTTGCAAGAATCGTAGTACAGCTTTATCATTACTGTATACACATATGAAAGTATGTGCTTTGACATTTCTAGTATGGTGTGTATACATCTGATGGTTAATGGTGCTATTTCATCCCTTGTTGCAGATATCAAAGTCCATTCGGATTGATAAGCTTGCACCAGCATTGGCAAATTTGGTCAAACTTCTCCCAGGTAATGGACAGGTCAAGGCAAAGTCATCGCATATGGCCAGGCCTGAAACAAATGTATCAAATGATGCAGGCTCCACAAAAACACACCCGAGTTCTCCTGGGAGTTCAGGCTGCAGCCACAGACATAAACTGAAGCATGCTGGGAGTTCGCTGAAGAAGTCCGAGAAAGGAATCTTGGGGAAGATTGGGGTTAGCAAGAGTGATGGGATGAGAGGGGACAGCCCTAAGCATCCAAAGGAGAGGAACGCTGCAGGGGATGGTGTCAAGAAAGAAGTGAGATATATCACAAAGATCAAGGTCATTAGAAAACCTGACGGCACCATTATTAAAAAGAAGGTGCTGGTTCCTGAAAGAGAGATTCACAGATTGGAAGAAAATAAAATAAGAAAACAGAATTCCCCTGAAAAAAGTGAAGGGAAGAAAGTAACTAAGTTAGAAAATACAAAAACTGACTCACATCAGAAGCATGCAGTTGCATCAGGCCACCTGTCTGCCATGAAACACAATGGAAGACTGGACAGTGATGGTTTTCAGAAAAAGAAGAGTCATCAGTTTCCCAGTAAAGATGGCAGCACAGGTCTGAAGCATAAACATGGATTGAAGGCAAAGGTTGAGCATGATAGGAAAGATGGTCGCCCTGCCCTGTCAGTTGATGATTTGTTGAAGAGGGGCGTCCTACATAAAAAGAAACACCATCAACCTTTTGGAAACAAGAATTTACCAAAACCTGCTGTGAAAGATAGGAAACCAGAAACTGTCAAGGATGCTACAAAAACAGAGCATGAAAACAAAGAGTCTAAAGTTCACCAAAAGGGCAATAAATCAGAGATTAAAAATTCTAAAGGGCACAGATCAAGTCATGTGGATAAACAGGGACGAGACAGAAGCCGTTCGAGTGAGTCAAGTAAAAGTAGACGGAAATCAATGGAAGCTGGCAAGAGAAAGCCGGACAAACATGCAGAGGTAGAACAAGATGACAGCCCACCAGTCTTGATCCCTGCCTCTTCTCTAAGCAAACCAAAACATAGACACCACAAAGTGGAACAGGAAGTTCCTGTAGACATAACCATGAACGATCTGTTCAAACCAGACACACATGCCCAAGATCTGCTCAATAAGGAAGAAATACAAGATAATGGTAAGTCATGCGACCTCAGTGACAAGATGTCTCAGAATTTAGTAGATGCCCAAGATGTGCAGTCAGGCGTGGAACCTGATCGTGTCTACAACATTTTGATAGAACATCAGTACTCAAAACCAGCTTCACCTGTTGTGACGAGCCAGGATGGACAGGTGGGTGACAGTGTGATCACTGGGGGAGAGGATGATATTGAGAGCATCTCACATGCACAGGCTGTTGTCATGGATGCAAATCTTCCTGACCAGTTTCTAGAGGAATCTGATGAACTGGCTGCCAACGACACAGAGAACTTCCAAGATACCTGGCCTACCACCATGGAAGAACTGCAACACCTGGTGGAGAGGCGGGACACTGCAGATAGATCCTCCATTCTAGAGAGTTTAGGTTCGGAACTCCAGGAAAGCGGCACAGAATTTCTGATTGTTGGACAGGTGGAGGTTGGTAGAGTTCCAGCCTTATTGAGAGAAGAAAGACAGTCCATGCAGGAAGTTGCTGGAAGTGAATCAGAGAAGGCTGATGGGGCCAGTACTGTGTGTTGACAGCAGAAAACCCAGTTTAGAGAAAACCAAAGATGGTACAGATAGGAGGAGTAGCTTCACAGAGAGCAACAGGAAGTCTAGCACCAAGTCTAGTTCTGAAGATAGGAGGTCCAGTAGTGATAAGAAAGTCGTTGCTGACTACAAGAAGTCTGGGTCTGAAGATAAGAAACAGTATAGTTCAGGCGACAAGAAAAAGTATAGTTCGGACAGTAAGAAAAAGTATAGTTCCGACGACAGGAGAAAGTCCACTTCAGATGAGAAGAAGAAAACAAGTTCTGAAATAAAGAAAAGCAGCAGCAGTGACAAAAAAGCCAGCCATGAAGACAAGAGAAAAAGAGCAGATGACAGGAGTGATGATGTAGGCAAGAAAAAATACAAGGACAGCAAGAAGCCGGACAGTACAGGTTAGTATCACATTTAAAGATTAGCGCATGAGTGTGTATGATTACGAATACTCTAATATGTACTTAAAATCACATCCATTCAGTAAATCTGCATGTCCTTTACAGAACAACGCTCTCTTCACAGCACACCTGAAAGTCTTGCTTTCTGTAACCAGTGTTGAGCCCTGCGTGCTTTCATAACTGATGCATTTTCAGTGTCTTGTGTTGACCGTCATGGATGTTGACCTGTATTTCGTTTCCAGAAACAGCATCTTCCATTTCTGTTCTCTTCAGACCAGCGTGGCACTTGACATGTCCAAAATACCTTAGCTTTCAGGGGAGAATGCTGTTGTTGAGCCAGTTCTCCTTGATGTTGTGATCATGCAGGGTGTCAGTGTTTTTCTTCTTCGTGGTCCTTAGTATTCTAAGAATTTTCTCTAGCGACTGAGTGAGAGTCCCTGACTCACTTGCTGCGGGAAAGATGCATGATCTCACAATTTTTTACTTTCACTTGTTTGCAGGACATGGAAGCATGTTTTGTCTTAGTCACTTGTTTGCAGGACATGGAAGCATGTTTTGTCTTAGTCACTTGTTGGCAGGACATGCAAGCATGTTTTGTCTTAGTCACTTGTTGGCAGGACATGGAAGCATGTTTTGTCTTAGTCACTTGTTTGCAGGACATGGAAGCATGTTTTGTCTTAGTCACTTGTTGGCAGGACATGCAAGCATGTTTTGTCTTAGTCACTTGTTGGCAGGACATGGAAGCATGTTTTGTCTTAGTCACTTGTTTGCAGGACATGGAAGCATGTTTTGTCTTAGTCACTTGTTTGCAGGACATGGAAGCATGTTTTGTCTTAGTCACTTGTTGGCAGGACATGGAAGCATGTTTTGTCTTAGTCACTTGTTTGCAGGACATGCAAGCATGTTTTGTCTTAGTCACTTGTTGGCAGGACATGGAAGCATGTTTTGTCTTAGTCACTTGTTGGCAGGACATGGAAGCATGTTTTGTCTTAGTCACTTGTTGGCAGGACATGGAAGCATGTTTTGTCTTAGTCACTTGTTGGCAGGACATGGAAGCATGTTTTGTCTTAGTCACTTGTTTGCAGGACATGGAAGCATGTTTTGTCTTAGTCACTTGTTGGCAGGACATGGAAGCATGTTTTGTCTTAGTCACTTGTTGGCAGGACATGGAAGCATGTTTTGTCTTAGTCACTTGTTTGCAGGACATGCAAGCATGTTTTGTCTTAGTCACTTGTTGGCAGGACATGCAAGCATGTTTTGTCTTAGTCACTTGTTGGCAGGACATGGAAGTATGTTTTGTCTTAGTCACTTGTTGGCAGGACATGCAAGCATGTTTTGTCTTAGTCACTTGTTGGCAGGACATGCAAGCATGTTTTGTCTTAGTCACTTGTTAGCAGGACATAGAAGTATGTTTTGTCTTAGTCACTTGTTTGCAGGACATGCAAGCATGTTTTGTCTTAGTCACTTGTTGGCAGGACATGGAAGCATGTTCTGTCTTAGTCACTTGTTGGCAGGACATGGAAGTATGTTTTGTCTTAGTCACTTGTTGGCAGGACATGCAAGCATGTTTTGTCTTAGTCACTTGTTTGCAGGACATGCAAGCATGTTTTGTCTTAGTCACTTGTTGGCAGGACATGGAAGCATGTTCTGTCTTAGTCACTTGTTGGCAGGACATGGAAGTATGTTTTGTCTTAGTCACTTGTTTGCAGGACATGCAAGCATGTTTTGTCTTAGTCACTTGTTTGCAGGACATGGAAGCATGTTCTGTCTTAGTCACTTGTTGGCAGGACATGCAAGCATGTTTTGTCTTAGTCACTTGTTTGCAGGACATGGAAGCGTGTTCTGTGTTAGTCACTTGTTTGCAGGACATGGAAGCATAGTTGTCTTAGTCATTTGTTTGCAGGACATGGAAGCAAGTTTGTCTTAGTTGACCCGGACCTCCAGGTTGACACCAACTAAAATGGGTCGCAGTAGATATTCTTTGATGTTATGTGGAATGGTTCCCCGGCACTGTGCCCACTCTTGTTCTTAGTTCTTCATTTTTTTCCTACTTGTAAAAATACATGTGAGCAATCATCGCTGTGGGTTTGAGGAGGTTGGCAGATGCTCCAGTCACTAGACCACTCATAGTGTCTGATTCTCAGCCTGTGGCGTGGACAGTTACACAAACATAGACAGATGGTGTTTCATGGAATAATACAAGAATTGGTTAACTCATATTATCATATATTAACTCATATGTAGTCACTGGTCACTGAAATTATTTAATTAGTTTTAAGTGAAGGAGGTTGTCAGATATGAGATAAGTAACTAATATTAGATATCGAATGAGTAGACACACAATCTCAGCCACTCCTGTGTTAGGAGAACTGACATCAGTTTGCAGTCCAGCTCACGCTGTAGTGGCTGCCTACAGGTTTCGCAGGGTCTCATCAATACCCGGACTGCACGAGGCCATTTCCTTAGATGACCATGCTCAAGAATCACTAACTGGACATGTATTCCACTAGATGTGCTCCTGGCAGGAAATAATTGATGCGCTTGGACGGAATGTAAAAACACTTAAGGACGGAGGATAACACAGACCAAATACTACAGTGGAATATCAAAGGCAAAACCTAACATATAAATGTTCAAACAGCAGTCGAACAACAGGAGATGAGCTCAGGTGGATGGGTCTACAACAGGACCAACATACCAGACCCAGGCATGCAGGAAGGGACACCACAGCAAATGTATATGGACACTGACCCATTGAACATGGCGCGAAAACCCAAGTTTAGCCAGTAATTTGGCCCAGAAACACAGGTCACGGTTATAACCAAAAGCCCCGTTTTCAGAAGGAGCTGGTTGAACATGGCCAGATTGTTGTTCTTCACCAGAACGCTGAAGTGAGAGAGAGCAGATTTGTTGGTTTTAGGCCAGTAACAGTTGTCTCACCACGTACAGGCTATGGGCTGGGGATGTTTTTAAAACTTTAAACAACTGCCCTGCTGTACTATGTGAACTAATATATGTAAGGAGCTGTGTTATGTTTCAATGTTTTACACATATATCTGTTTTACAGTACCATCTTATCTAATATCATTTATCACAATCTTAACTGTTTTAAAAAGTGAATTGTCTCACATTTTTTTTTTTTTTCAGAACTGAAGCCAGAGCGTGATGAGGAGATTGGTGATAACAGCGGCGAAGAGCCTAACTTTGAGGATGATGAGAAGGATATCGATTGGGAGCCTAACGATACAGACACTCTGTACTGCATCTGTCGCAAGCCCCACAACAACAGGTAGCTCGCATGTTTAAAATCTTTTTTGTTGGTAACAAGATTAGAGAAATCTCTCTCATGATGTCAAGAAACAAGTTGGGATGGGACCAGTGATTAACTTCATTGGGGGTCATACCCCCCCCCCCCCTTTTAGTTACTACATTCATATCCTTGCCTGTGTACATAGAACCAATGAAATTTTAATTTGTTTTTTGAGAAAGGTCACTGCAGACAAGCTGCTTTATCATCATTGGGGGGGGGGGTGGGGGGCTGTGTCATAACCGAAAGGGACTAGATTTAGTCTTCTCTTGAAGGCGTGATTAAATCTGTATGGGGGGGGGGGGGGGAGTGAGTAAACGGACTCATGTTAAAATCTGTATAAGTGTTAATGAGCCATAGAAAGCTGAGTATATTTGAAAGGTGGGTTCTGGGGAAAACTAGAATAGACCCACTGCCTCCCTAACAAAAACCATATCATAGGAGTCAATTTATTGGGTACATCTGCTTGAGAGGCAAGGAACCAGGAGTCTGCATACAGATAAGCCATTTGTGTGAAACTGGTGTGCAAACATTCACTTAGGTTCTGGAATAAAACTAAAGTTCTGTGGGGGACAAACACCCAGAGCTTTTACCAGAGTTTACAGCTGGTGAGCGCAAAGAGGAGGAGGAAGAAGAAACAGTTGTGCTGCAGGATGGAATGGAAGAATAAACTGTGAGCTTCATATCATATAAAAAGGCACCGCATGACTATGACCAGTTTATTTATATTCATGTGTGTCCACACATAGTTAGTTAATTAGAGGGATCAGTTTTATCCTTTTAGTGTTATTGAATTCTCACCCTGCCTGTAAAATTTTAATTTCCATCCTCCTGTTGACAGGTTCATGATCTGTTGTGACAAGTGTGAAGAGTGGTTCCACGGAACCTGCGTGGGGATCAGCAGGGCCAGAGGCCAGGAAATGGAGGACAACGAGGAGGAATACATTTGCCCTTTTTGTGCCAGTAAGTGTTGACCTGGCAGTAATTGTCTTAGCTGACAGTTTGTGACACATCGTAGAGTGTGACAGCACTTCAAATGTCTAAACCCTTTCAGGTCCAATAGATCGCAGCTGATTGAAGCAATAATGATGACAACAAAAGCATGGGTTATCTGCGTCCACAGAGTCCAAATTCCCAGCACATTGTATGTCACTCGCGTTGCTGGATTGCTGTACAGAATTAATTAAAATGTTGGCTGGTGCATATGAGTCATATCAAGTAAACCTGGTGGCTTGTTTAGGGCCAAAGAGACAGTTAAGAAACATCATCTTGGCATTATTTACTTTATGTGAACTAGCCTTTATTATTAAGCTAAAAATATAAGATTCATCGCAGCCTACATCATTTCCCACATTAAGTCCTTAGTTTAATGAGAACTTAACATCATTTTCCACATTGAGTCCTCGGTTTAATGATAACTTAACATCATTTTCCCACATTGAGTCCTCGGTTTAATGAGAACTTTACATCATTTCCCACATTGAGTCCTCGGTTTAATGAGAACTTAACATCATTTCCCACATTGAGTCCTCGGTTTAATGAGAACTTAACATCATTTCCCACATTGAGTCCTCGGTTTAATGAGAACTTAACATCATTTCCCACATTGAGTGCTCGGTTCAATGATAACTTGACATCATTTCCCACATTGAGTGCTCGGTTTAATGAGAACGTAGCATTATTTCCCACATTAAGTGCTCCGTATAATGTGAACTTAACATCATTTCCCACAATAAATGCTCAGTTTAATGAGAAAGTAACATAATTTCCCACATTGAGTACTCATTTTAATGAGAACTTAACATCTTTTTCCCTCATTGAGTACTCAGTTTAATGAGAACTTAACATCATTTCCCACATTAAGTCCTCAGTTTAATGAGAACTTAACATCATTTCCCACATTGTGTTCTCAGTTTAATCATTTGAACACATATTTACATAAGATTCCACACTGATCCTTAGTTACACATTTGAAGATGGAATTTTTCAGCACCAGGTACCCACAAGTTTCTTTTGGACATTTAATCTCGCACAGGAGCCACCATTTATTTTAACCCTGCACGGGACACTGGGAATTCTCTACAAAATAAAGATCATCTTTATTTTGTAGAGAATTCCCAGTGCACTTACAATAATGCCCCCACGAGAGCACGAACTAGTGCAGTGTGCCCTCTTTGATGTCTCAAGAGCACAAACACAGCACCAGGAAATGGAAGAAAATCTAAGACACTCTGACCTTCGTTGATGAACTCTTAATTAGATGCAGTCAGACAAACATCAGTGTTTCTCACTTGGATTGTCATTGTTACCTCTCAGCTTATCTCTGCAGTGTGATTGTCATGAATGACTTCTCTGATACAATTGTAACATGTATCATTCAGCTTTGGATACCTTGATAATATGTATCACTGGTGGAAACCGCTGGTATGTATCTCTGTATTCTGCAAAAGTGCCCATTATCTACCAGGAGTGTTGTCAGTTGTGAAGCTGTAGTGGTGGTGCCAGTATGCATTGTTTTGTTTGAGCCATTTGTTTATTTGGTTGCCATCAAATGTAGTGTATTTAATTCACAGAAGGAGATCCGGACTTGACTCTGGAGACAGCTGTGCTGTCATTAAAATCTCCAGAGAAGGTATGCTTTTCTTGTTGTCTCAGTACCATTGATTTTCCACCGCAGTTAGTGTTTTTACCACTGAAAAATAACTTCTGAAACATATAGAATTAACCGCCGCAGCAACCTAAACAAATGGTTCAAGACTCCATGGGAATTCCTGAAAAAAATATGTTTAAAAAAAAAGCAGTTTGACACAGGTCACCAATACATTTGTTAAAAATGTATTTATCTATATTTTAATTTGTTTGACATATCAAGTAAGTCACCAGTAAACATGGGAGAGTAAAACAGCTGGAATACACTTCCTGGGGCATGAGATATATATCGGGTGAAACATTCGCTGGAATACACTTCCTGTGGCCTTAGATATGTATCGGATGAAACATTAGCAGGAATACACTTCCTGGGGCCTGAGATATGTATCGGGTGAAACACTTCCTGGGGCCTGAGATATGTATCGGGTGAAACACTTCCTGGGGCCTGAGATATATATCGGGTGAAACATTAGCTGGAATACACTTCCTGGGGACTGAGATATATATCGGGTGAAACATTAGCTGGAGTACACTTCCTGGGGCATGAGATATATATCGGGTGAAACATTCGCTGGAATACACTTCCTGTGGCCTTAGATATGTATCGGATGAAACATTAGCAGGAATACACTTCGTGGGGCCTGGGATATGTATCGGGTGAAACATTAGCTGGAGTACACTTCCTGGGGCCTGAGATATGTATCGGGTGAAACACTTCCTGGGGCCTGAGATATGTATCGGGTGAAACATTAGCTGGAGTACACTTCCTGGGGCCTGAGATATGTATCGGGTGAAACATTAGCTGGAGTACACTTCCTGGGGCCTGAGTTATGTATCGGGTGAAACATTAGCTGGAATACACTTCCTGGGGCCTGAGATATGTATCGGGTGAAACATTAGCTGGAGTACACTTCCTGGGGCCTGAGATATGTATCGGGTGAAACATTAGCTGGAGTACACTTCCTGGGGCCTGAGATATGTATCGGGTGAAACATTAGCTGGAGTACACTTCCTGGGGCCTGAGATATGTATCGGGTGAAACATTAGCTGGAGTACACTTCCTGGGGCCTGAGATATGTATCGGGTGAAACATTAGCTGGAGTACACTTCCTGGGGCCTGAGATATGTATCGGGTGAAACATTAGCTGGAATACACTTCCTGGGGCCTGAGATATGTATCGGGTGAAACATTAGCTGGAATACACTTCCTGGGGCCTGAGATATGTATCGGGTGAAACATTAGCTGGAGTACACTTCCTGGGGCCTGAGATATGTATCGGGTGAAACATTAGCTGGAGTACACTTCCTGGGGCCTGAGATATGTATCGGGTGAAACACTTCCTGGGGCCTGAGATATATATCGGGTGAAACGTTAGCTGGAATACACTTCCTGGGGCCTGAGATATGTATCGGGTGAAACATTAGCTGGAGTACACTTCCTGGGGCCTGAGATATGTATCGGGTGAAACAGTTCCTGGGGCCTGAGATATGTATCAGGTGACTCATCTATTGACCTTAATCACTGTGGTTTACCAAAAAATCTGATGCCAACTTGGTTGTTAAAAAAAAAAAAAAACTTTTTGGTTCACAAAAAAACATCTCTGAAGGCTGTTGTTAGTAAATATATTCATAAACGGGTTTCTTAAATGCTGCGCAGGGGCGAACAGAAACAGTGACATTTATCTATATGTGTAGGGAAAAGATTACTACAGAGACCAGTTTCATATCCTTTACGGGAATATGACAGTGGCAGAAAAGCCAGGTTTGGGGCTCCTAGGGAAGACTTAAAGTTCTTGCAGCCCAAACACTCCATACCATAAAATTGTGTCTGTGAAGTATTGGCTCACATCCTTTTCCTTTTGTGTGTGTGTGTGTGTAAATTATATAATTCAGGATACAAGTAAATTAAGTTTTTTATACATTTGTGAGGTAAATATTGTTAAAGACCCTTTTCATGTCTTTGGCTAGCATAGATTTGTTGCAAAGTGTCTAGATTTGTCACACAGTGTCTAGATTTGTCACACACTGTATAGATTTGTCACACAGTGTCTAGATTTGTCACACAGTGTCTAGATTTGTCACACAGTGTCTAGTTTTGTCACACATGGTACCAATTTGTCACAGTGTCTAGATTTGTCACACAGTGTCTAGATTTGTCACACAGTGTCTAGATTTTTCACACAATGTCTAGATTTGTCACACAATGTCTAGATTTGTCACACAGTGTCTAGATTTTTCACACAATGTCTAGATTTTTCACACAATGTCTAGATTTGTCACACAGTGTCTAGATTTGTCACACAGTGTCTAGATTTTTCACACAGTGTCTAGATTTTTCACACAGTGTCTAGATTTTTCACACAGTGTCTAGATTTTTCACACAATGTCTAGATTTGTCACACAGTGTCTAGATTTTTCACACAATGTCTAGATTTGTCACACAGTGTCTAGATTTTTCACACAATGTCTAGATTTGTCACACAGTGTCTAGATTTGTCACACAGTGTCTAGATTTGTCACACAGTGTCTAGATTTTTCACACAATGTCTAGATTTGTCACACAGTGTCTAGATTTGTCACACAGTGTCTAGATTTGTCACACAGTGTCTAGATTTGTCACACAGTGTCTAGATTTGTCACACAGTGTCTAGATTTGTCACACAGTGTCTAGATTTTTCACACAATGTCTAGATTTGTCACACAATGTCTAGATTTGTCACACAGTGTCTAGATTTGTCACACAGTGTCTAGATTTGTCACACAGTGTCTAGATTTGTCACACAGTGTCTAGATTTTTCACACAGTGTCTAGATTTGTCACACGGTGTCTAGATTTTTCACACAGTGTTACCATCTGCAGATGAAGTCACAACTGCTGCAGAAATGTGTTGGACGCAGGTGCAGCAAGGCGCCGCGGCCAGGCTCTGTCTACTGTAGCAATGAGTGTGTGATGAGTCATGCCCAGGAGGCCCTCAAGACCATCAGAGAAGAGCAGATGAAGAAAAAGGTTTGCTCCCTATTTGAGTAGTTTGTGTCAACTTTTGAAACAGCAGTGTAGTTTTGTTAACAAAAGACATGTTAACATGCTAATCAGAACAGGCAGAAGCAGTCTTCATCTTCTTCACTTCCTATTTTACTGCTTCTGGTATTAAGGAAGATATAGGATTTTGCTTCTTGCTGTTCTGACCACCTCAACATCTTTCTGTTGTAGAGTTTCTCTGATGTTATCTTTCCATTTGTTGTTGCTCTTCATCCCTCCCTTGTAGTATGTGGCTTTATGATCACAGCTCTTCATCCCTCCCTTGTAGTATGTGGCTTTATGATCACAGCTCTTCATCCCTCCCTTGTAGTATGTGGCTTTATGATCACAGCTCTTCATCCCTCCCTTTTAGTATGTGGCTTTATGATCACAGCTCTTCATCCCTCCCTTGTAGTATGTGGCTCTATGATCACACTACAGCTGGCAGTCTTAGCTCTGAATGAGTAGTCTGTATTCTGACTTACCTGGACCTGCATGAACTCAACCAGCCACGGATTGTACCTGCATGAACTCAACCAGCCACAGATTGTACCTGCATGAACTCAACCAGCCACGGATTGTACCTGCATGAACTCAACCAGCCACGGATTGTACCTGCATGAAGTTAACCAGCCACAGATTGTACCTGCATGAACTCAACCAGCTACAGATTGTACATGCATGCACTCAACAAGCCATAGATTGTACCTGCATGAACTCAACCAGCCACAGATTGTACCTGCATGAACTCAACCAGCCACAGATTGTATCTGCATGAACTCAACCAGCTACAGATTGTACCTGCATGAACTCAACCAGCCACAGATTGTACCTGCATGAACTCAACCAGCCACAGAGTGTACCTGCATGAACTCAACCAGCCACAGATTGTACCTGCATGAACTCAACCAGCCACAGACTGTACCTGCATAAACTCAACCAACCATAGAAAAGAAAGATAAAATGTTAAAATATTACTGATTATTTATAAAATGTAATTTACATTTATCATTGTGAAGCTGTAGATTGTAATTAATTTGACAGATGTATAAATCTGTTGTTAATCTCTCTAGATGTCACCAATTTGTGCACGCTATTGACAAAAAGGTTTGGCCATCCTACCCCTCTGGTTCACTTCTGTCATCATCTTTTACTGGACCAATCTAGGAGGAACTTTTTGAGTGAAGTACACTAAAAGCTCATTAACATGAAGTAGCGTAAGAAGAATAGTCAGCTAACATGAACAAAATAATTTCCTAGCAGGGATATATGTATATTATTAGCCTCCTGATCTACATTTGCAATGCCTTGGAATTCATTTGAATGTGTTACAATGATAACATTGTTGTGATCTTCAGCAGATATCTGAGAAACAACCTTCCACACACAGCAAAAGCTCTTCTTCATCGACACCCAAGACGCTGCCAGCAAAATCCTCCTCAGCAGCAGACACCGTGGAGGTGATAGAGAGGGAAACTGGTAAGCTACTGACAGGCTCCAGTGCCCCAACACAGAAAGGCCTGCACCGCTGGCTGGAACAACACCCAACTTTTGAGGTGGTTCTGCCTCACAAACATCGCAGCAAGAGCTCATCTTCAAGTAAGTTGTCTTTGTTCCATTTTGCTGTTCTAAGTAGTGCCTTGTGTTTCTTCTTCTTTGTTCCATTTTGCTGTTCTAAGTAGTGCCTTGTGTTTCTTCTTCTTTGTTCCATTTTGCTGTTCTAAGTAGTGCCTTGTGTTTCTTCTTCTTTGTTCCATTTTGCTGTTCTAAGTAGTGCCTTGTGTTTCTTCTTCTTTGTTCACCAACTGTAAGCTCTGGCAGAAGGTTCTGGTTGTGTGGACTTTGGCTTTGTGCCAGGGCCTGAGTTTTGTGTGTACATCCTGTTTTCTGGCTTATGTGTGTGCAAATGGTTGTTCCTTGCCGTTCCGACAGATGCCCTCTGACTTAGGAGGATGTTCCTAATTAGTTGACACCTACAACATGCTTGTTGGGGAGGCCATGGGTCTGTTCTTGATTTTTTCTTTTCATGCAAATGTCCTATGCTAAAAATAGGCTGAAATTGTACTCTCTGATAAGGTAAGTTTTAGTCAACTAGTGAAGTTGTTATTTCAGAACTATTGTTTTGTCAGGTTTAATTGCTGATTAGACCAAATGTTTTTGTAATTATTGTCGACATTTTTTTATATGCCGAAGTGTAAAATGTGTTTGTATTAGTAAAATATAAAGCTGTCTGTAAAGTGCAGTCTTGATTAGTCAGTCCTTGAAACTTTCTTGGCAGACACCAGCAACAGTACAACTGCTGCAGTGGTGGATTCACACACTTTGATGAGTAGTGTTGCCCCTAGAAACAAACATGGGGGAGAGATGGCTGTCTTGAAATAAATCTGTTCCCATACTTTACCATTTGTACGACTGTACCTTATTTATTTATATCAGGCTGTATCTTGGCTAGGTGTTTTCTCGTTTGCCGAAGGTTGTGGATTCATTACATGTGCTGGCTTATTCAGTTCACATGTATGCTGTTTACAGAGATCCCTGAGGATCATTGCTGGAGCTAAAGAGTTGTGAGTTTGTGCTAGCCATTCTCTGGAAAGTCTCAGCCATGAAGGAAAAAACTCTTTGCAGTAAAATGAGTCCTGTTGAATGTCAACTTTAAACTAACTATACATTAGTTACCTATTCTCTGCTGGTTACTTTCCATTGACTTACATGTTGATGCATAGAGTAAACTTTTATGTCTGTCTATGTTTTGTTAACATTAAAAATATTCAAACAAGTTCATTATTATTTTCTTAAATTGTTAACATTTGATTTTATGCATTGTTAACATTTTGTTAGAAAGTTAGCACTGTTTGAATTGTAAGCAAAATTTTGGCGTTTAAGTTCTGTTGTATTACATGGATCATTGGGCAAATAATGCTAAACATAAATTGTTATAATCCAACCAGTCCTCGATGGGTTATGTGATAAACATCATGCTTGCTGTTTTTACTTCCCAAGACATTACCTGGTACCCATTTTAGACTGGGTCAACCTGTTAGGCAAAAGCAGTTGTGGAAAAAATCTGCCTAGATGCAGATCTAAACCCATAACTTGGGCTTCACACACTTTTTATCTAATAAATATGAAGTTAAACAATATTGCTTCCATTTAAGAAAAACAACATATTTTTGACTTGTTGCACACTGAATTACTCTGTGCTCAACAGAAGACAAGCAGTCAAGATCTGATAGAGACAAAACATCTTCAGCTGATAGAGACAGACAGAAATCTGATAAAGATAGAAAACGAGCTGAAACAGAAAAACGAGATCACACAAGCAGCAAAGATTCAAGCAGGCAGTCTGAAGCTGAGAAGCAACAGAATGTGAACTCACAAACATCTGATGGGTCCAGGATTGACGACAGGAGAGGGGACGGACAGAAACAAATACGAGTTAACGTTCAGACAGCTCTGGGTGACTGTCTCTCGGCCAGGTAATGGGCAGTGAAGCTGAGATTGATGTTTTTTCTGTTCCTATGTTTTGTTGCTTTTCTTTTTTCCCCCTTCCCCGTTCTTATTTTCTGACTGTCTTTTCTCTTCTATAATGTTATAGTGATGATTGGAAATAGGCTGTGATGATGATGACAGTATTTTAAGCACCCTTGTGAAAGCCATGCTAGAGGTGACGATGAAAGGCAAGCATGTGAGAGTCAGACACCTGCTTACATTGACTGATAACTTCCAACATTGGACCAGAATATGTTACAAGTGTTATTACAGTACTATCAGTGTGTCAGGTTTCATTCCTGATTAGACCAGATGTTTTTTAAATTTTTTAAAAACATTTTTAAATATGTCGAAGTGAAATAAATAATTTAAAAAAAAAAAGCTATCTGTAAACTACAGTCTATTTATTTTGGTCAGCACTTGGAAACCCTCTTGGCAGACATCAGCAGTATGCTACTTTGCAGCCATATTGTCAGGAACTGAAAATGTGACCAACTGTTGATGTCAAGACTAGCTGATTTGATCCAAGTCACTTCAACATGACCTTATGAAGGTGGCCAACTGTTGATGTCAGGACACTAGCTGATTTGATCCAAGTCACTTCACCATGACCTTATGAAGGTGGCCAACTGTTAATTTCAAGACACTAGCTGATTTGATCCAAGTCACTTCAACATGACCTTATGAAGGTGGCCAACTGTTGATGTCAAGACACTAGCTGATTTGATCCAAGTCACTTCAACATGACCTTATGAAGGTGGCCAATTGTTGATGTCAAGACACTAGCTGATTTGATCCAAGTCACTTCAACATGACCTTATGAAGGTGGCCAACTGTTGATGTCAAGACACTAGCTGATTTGATCCAAGTCACTTCAACATGACCTTATGAAGGTGGCTAACTGTTGATGTCAAGACACTAGCTGATTTGATCCAAGTCACTTCAACATGACCTTATGAAGTTGGCCAACTGTTGATGTCAAGACACTAGCTGATTTGATCCAAGTCACTTCAACATGACCTTATGAAGGTGGCCAATTGTTGATGTCAAGACACTAGCTGATTTGATCCAAGTCACTTCAACATGACCTTATGAAGGTGGCCAATTGTTGATGTCAAGACACTAGCTGATTTGATCCAAGTCACTTCAACATGACCTTATGAAGGTGGCCAATTGTTGATGTCAAGACACTAGCTGATTTGATCCATGTCACTTCAACATGACCTTATGAAGGTGGCCAACTGTTGATGTCAAGACACTAGCTGATTTGATCCAAGTCACTTCAACATGACCTTATGAAGGTGGCTAACTGTTGATGTCAAGACACTAGCTGATTTGATCCAAGTCACTTCAACATGACCTTATGAAGGTGGGCTACATTGGTCATAGAAATTAGTTCTTGTAATGGCTAGAAAGATTCACCATGTTAGATTTCATTAGAGACTTGTCAGTTCTTTGTTTTTGGTTTCCTCCCAAAGTAGGTTTCATGGAACAGTCAGCATCTAAACCTGAACTCTTTTGATAATTAGGAATGCATCTCATGTTGATTTATAATTAATGTAGCTATGCCATGGTACTCAGAGAGATTTGCTGCCGAAAACTGAGCATCTATGTGTGTGCCAAGTATGCAAACCAAGACAAGGGCACATAATGATGACTAAATCGTTGGCACATGTTGATGACATAATGTGAATGATGTTCTCATGTTTTACAGAGCATTGGAGGATGATGACATCATGCTGTCCAGCAACGAAATCAAAAGCCTGGCCCTGACCATAGAGGAGGAGCTGTTTTCTCTGTTTAACGACACAGGACACAAGTACCGCACCAAATATCGCAGTCTTGTCTTCAATATCAAGGATCAGAAGAATAAGGTGAGTCTTGCAAAAAATATTTGATCATTACTGTCTTTTAAAGTATTTTTTGTTTAACTTTACCAGATCTGAAGCCCTGAACTTGACTGTCTCCCCTATACCTGGGCTCCTGGGCAATAAAGGAAAAAACCAATATGATTTACATAAATATTTGCTACATTCAAACAGGTGGTTAGAATAAGATGAAACTTGGAGATATTGTAGAAAATATCTTCTATGGCAAATATTTCACCTTTGTGTGCCAATCCGCCTAGAGGGATGAGCTTTGTTTCACACAGAGGTACTTGCAAAGTAAGCACCAGATGTGGCTTTTCACCTTCTGCATGGATTGTCTTTATAAGACACGCCAGGATTTTGCTAGTGTACCTGGAGTGCTTTTCCATGCACACAACACATATATAATCAGATAATGCCCACTGTGGCATCCTTACAATTTTTTGTATTGTAGGAGTTGGGCTTTGCCATATGCAGTTGGTGGGCCCAGGGGTTGGTTTTCTCTGTCAGAATTTTGCCAAAAAATGTCGTCCTCAACACAAGGATAAAAAGTCAGTCATTTCACTCTCCGTTGTGATAGATCTAGGTATGTTCACTGGGCTTTTTCCATCATTTAAATTCAGGTCTGTATTTGGTAATGCAAAATTCCCTGTCCAGCCTCCATCACCACCTAGATCTCCCCCATCAGCTGTTTGAGGGACACGCCCCTCTTCTCTTACTATCGATCCAGGTGTAGATCTATACGGTTCAAGATTCTCCTCATCACTCGAGCTCTCACTGTCTCACTTGAACTAGAAACGTATTCTTGGTGAAATTCTGATTCCTCAGAATCTGAATCAACCAAAGTATCAATCATCTGTTGGACTGTGAAAAGCCTAGACCTACTTTGCTTTCTTGTTGAAGTGCTTGGTTCATCAGCCACTTGTTTCATTGTGAATTTTCTGAATTTTTTCACGTTAACCTACACAAGGTCAATCCAGACACACAGGGACAGACATTTGCAATGGCTGTCCATGAAATTTGACCACAATAGGTTGGTTTTTTTTTAGTTTGTGGCACATTTTTTTCACGTAGTACTCAAAGTACCGAAAATTAGATACAGCAGCAGATTTGGAAATTACAGAAAAATCAGTATAGCTTTCTGGTAGAGTTGATATGCTTCTGGTCTCATAGTTTCTGCAGCAAGCAACACTAAGCATGTGATTTCAGTATCGGGCTGACCTTCTTAACTTTTTGAGTCCCAAGGAAGCATCATACGTTCATAGGTTCCTACCTAGAAGCCCAATGAATGCATGATGCGCCAATTTTATTACTGTCTTTACTACCCCGTGGGCCTGTGATGCTAACCCCCTGGGACTCAAAGAGTTAACTTCAGATCATTCTGATTTTATGAGCAGGGATACCAATGTTGCAACTTCCCAGCTCCAGGCTGCAAAAAAAAAAAAAAAAATGGATGTATCAAGAATTGATATCACCGCACTTGGGGCAATCCCACACATGCTCCATCCCCTTCTTCAGTAGCCAGCGAAGAGTCAACATGCTAGTAGTAGTTAATCCTCTTTAATGTAAGAAAAAGGAAACAGGCAGTTAATTGAAAACAAGAAAAACTAAATAATGGGTGTGACAAAACTGGACAACTGAGAGGGGGCAAATAAGAGAATTTGCATATCATAACTGGATAACATGAAAGGATAAATTTTCCAAGGGAAGTTACTGGTTGTTTGAAATATTGAGCCATCACAGCTCAATTTTGTGTACCCGCTTGTTCACATTCAATAATGATCATTTTTTTTAATGCCTCTCATCCGATGTTATGAAGGAAGAGGTTAGGCAGCTGACATCCTAACAGACATTAGAGCACACTGTTAGTGTGTTGTGGGACCACTGACAGTTAATTGCATTCTGTTTCAGGGCTTGTTTCGCAAGATTCTCACGGGCAAGATCAAGCCTTATCAACTGGTACAGATGAGCACGGAGGAGCTGGCATCCAAAGAGTTGGCCATGTGGAGAGAGCAGGCCAGCAAACATGTAAGTGAATAGTTGGTGGTTGAACACAACTCATACCCCTGTTGTTGGTCTAACATAGTAAACTTATTAGACATTGACATTTGGTGATGCGGGGGTTGGTACTTGAGACACTTGGGACCTGTTGTTGGTCTAACATAGTAAACTTATTAGACATTGACATTTGGTAATGAGGGGGTTGGTACTTGAGACAGTTGTCACAGCACTACTCAGAGACATTTCTGTCCTTGTTCACTTTTGCTTAAAAATCCATTACAGTTTCACTTAATCTGCTCCTCTCAAAATATTCTTGAATTATCTACATGAAAAAATATTTACATATCTAAAGAATTACACACATTAATTTATTCTCAGGAACTTTGTCTTACGTTCCATGAAAGTGTTCAAATAAAGATCTCTTCATGTTAAAATGGTGACGCTGTTTGCCTCACACTGTGAAGATAGTGTGTGTGTGTGTGTGTTCATTTCACAGACGCATCACTTAGTTTACAAGTGTAGTTTTTACAGAGATGCCTGGTGATCAGGGCTGAAGCTGTGGAGTTTGTGCTTTGTGTGACGATATCTGCAAGTGGCTAACCATTATGTTGAGAGGGACCCAGCCATAGGGATAATACCCATTGCAACAATGTTGATCCCCCTGACTTTATTTTAATTTGTAAATGAATTTAGAAGACGAAAAATTATTCTTATATTTATACACATATTTGAGTTTATACCAAGCATCAACTGCTCACACTACACTATGTAGTGTAGTTCTGCAGGAGGTTCACAATGGACACATGTGGCTTGAGTTTATACCAAGCATCAGCCCATCAGCATTACAGGGACTCAACATGTATATGCAGGAGTGTGAGGAAATGAAGGAGCAGATTTTCTGGCTACAAAAGCAAAAGTTACAGGAACTTTTACTGGAGAAAGGAGACATTACGAAGACCATTTATGAATGAATACTGATAGAAGAGGTGTTGATCAGACAAGGAGCGACGTATGAGAGGAAGAGAACCACATGTTTATAATCAGTGCTACAGGAACTGTTAACATCAACACCTGAAGACATTTTCTGCGGGACACTAGCACTTGATTCTTAAATCAGTAAAATTAGTCGATCCCTGAACACACATCTGTCTGTATCTTTGTCTGTCATTTCTGTTTATCATTTGATACTTTTTGACTAATACTTGTGAAACATCTGCAAAGATCTATGTAATGACTGTCCAAATTAACGATGATTTGATTGATAAATCTCACAGCAGCTGGACATGATCCAAAAGACAGAACAACAGGCCTTGAAGGAAAGTGCCGCAGCCAAGCATGTGAGGAAGAAAACACACAAAGGGGAAGTGGAAGTGGAGGAGGAAGATTTGAGCGTTCTGGAGGTTGGTTTCTGGTTTCATTTCATTACGGCTTGCAAATTATTCGCTGCTGTTGCCCATTACCCCATTGAAAACGAACTGCTAATGATTAAATTTTTTTTTAATGACTGATCTGTAGTTCTGTTTTTTTTTTTTGGACCATTTTTTAACTAACTGTTTTCTTTGCTAATGACTTCTTGTTATTTGATTGTGTGTATATTGTTTCATGGTTATTTGATAATTATTGTGGCAATAACTTTATGTTAATAATATTCTAATTATGATTGTTCTTATAATTTGGTCTTTGTGCTGTTTGCATCCCTTTGTCATGTGTCTTTTGCATCTCTTTGTCATGTCAATGTTTTTTGTGTGCATTTGCTCCATTTGTCAGCCTGTGTGTATTGTAGCAAAGTTGATGTTTGTGTAGCTGGTCTTCTTTACCAGACTTGATTTATTGTGTCTGCTCTTTCCGTCTGCTGTTGCGGTGGGACTGCCGTGGCTACAGCTGTCACGATTTATGTTCAACAGACTCGTTTAGAAGAGAAGAAGGATCCAGAGCCGGACATTCAAGAGGAACAGCCACAGGTGCCAGTCATTGACACCACAGATCAGCACCGCGCGCATCTCTTTGACCTCAACTGTAAGGTGTGCACTGGCAAGATTGTGCCAGGGCGGGTAGAGCAGGCAATGAAGGCAGCACCAGAGAAGGTAGGTGTTAGTTGATGGAAGGGGTAGTTGTAAGAGATGTTGAGGAAGTGGTTCAGCAATGGCGTGTGTGGTTGTAATGTTGTGAGAGCTAAATCAGAGTAGAGCCATGCAAAGTTTTTTTGTGTGCTTTTGACAGCACTTTGCTAATGCAATTTCCATATTAGGATGGTAGTCTGTGGTTTTGCTGCCTGAGCTACTGCGTTTAGTGCTTGGTGCAGCCCTGTGAGCTGTTTTTCATGTGGAATACCTTTCATTTGCGCAACGGTTGTGTCGTGGTAGCCGGTTTACGTGTGAGCTGATAAAATACCTCATGTAATAATTCTCTCTGTGTGTATAGATGCCAATTTGTCATGCCGGACTACTTCCATCAACAACAAACTGCATGTCTGTTGGCTTTGGCGTCTCTAGCAACTGAAAATTGCATTTACTGCATGCACATATTGCTGGACTGTGTTGGTACCAATTCTTTGTTCACCAGTTTTTCACACAGGAGCAAGTTTGGGGAAACCCGACTGAAGTGAAGTTGGAACCTTGACTAAGACTAAAAAGTTTCAGTCAGACTGTCTTCTTAGGAAGCAGACTCTGGAGAATATTTAGTTGCTGAGTTCACACACACACACAATGTATTCACACACACTCACACACTATATGCGCAAGCGCGCACACACACACAATGCATACACACGCACACATGATGCATGCACACACACACGCACGCACAAAGATAAAGACAAGAGACAGAGAGAGAGAAATTTAATGAGTGAGTGAACAAATGAAGTGAAAAAGACTACGTTTTTCCATACAGCATCATCTGGTGGACTCTGAGGACTGTAGCCTCTGGCTTGTCACACCCAGAAAACTCATCGCTGATGTAAGTTCAGGTGGACAGAAAAAGAGAGGGGTAGTCCAGCTTAATATTAGGAACAGGCATTGAAAAACAAAAAAATCATTTGGCAGTATGAAGAGGGAAGCTGTCTATAATTAGACCCTCACTATTCTGTGGCACTTAAGCATTTCAGACACCTCTAGTGTGGAACAGTTAAGCATTTCAGACACCTCTAGTGTGGAACAGTTAAGCATTTCAGACACCTCTAGTGTGGAACAGTTAAGCATTTCAGACACCTCTAGTGTGGAACAGTTAAGCATTTCAGACACCTCTAGTGTGGAACAGTTAAGCATTTCAGACACCTGCAGTGCGGACACACATTGCTTCCCACCTTCTGTCTATATATTCCTGTTAGATTCTGTCTATGCCAGTCCCTCCTCCCATTTTTATTTTCTGAGCCTCTGAGTTAAATATTTTCACTTTATTCTCTGTGCTTCAAAATGTAACACATTTTTTACTCATTGGCATATATTATTGTGCCTTAGTGTAGGTACGCTGTAAATTTCAATACAACTATCCATTTAGACTTTTTCTATATTTTGATTGTTTCAGCCAGCAACAATCACATTTGAACAACCTGAAGAGAAGAAACCAGTGCAGTCTCAGGAAGAGAAAGATGATTACGAGAAGGCAGAAGAAATCGTCAAAGAGGCTTTTCGAACAATGCAGAAGATGGAGAAATCTGTTTCATCCTTGCCAAAGATTGTCTCGTCTTCACCGGCAGTGGAGTCAGTGACACCACCTCTCAGTCCAAAGTTGGTTAGTTCACGTCGGGAGTCATCATCATCATCTGCTTCCTCCATGTCTTCTTCGTCTACAAGACGGGCGGTGGTTGTTCGGTAAGCCAGCAAAATGGAATGTTTTTTTTTCCCAACTGATTCCATCTTTCCATCTTATTATTTATTATTATATCAGGCTCATTGCACGGCATCATCATCATCACCGTCAGGTTGTGCTGTTAAATGTCACACAAGGCTCACAGCTGAGTCCTTCATTCTGCTCTATGTCTACTTAGTGCCTATATGTTTGTGTGTAAGTGAGTCATTGGGCTTGTGGGTGTGTGTGTTCGCGCGTGAGCGTGCGCACAAATTTTACCAGCCATGCTTTTGTTTTTGACTTCATATATATAATATGCATATTATTACATGAATATAACATGCTTCATTGATGAAATACAACTGCTGTGTGAAAGATGGAAGTTTGGAAGTGCCGAATGTAAGACAGGCCTGCGTGCCTAATTTGTAACCCTTTGAAAATAAAGTTCGTTCGTTCGTTCGTTCTTTGCTATGCAGTCCTTTCAGTATTATGGGTGAAATCTAGTTCTTAAGAGAGAAGCCGGGACAGGCTTGGAAACTTCACAAACTCTTCCTGCTTAAAAGTGGCTGAATGGGCTAGGATTGGCTTGTACCGTTTGCAGTAGTACGTGTGCAAATGCTGGCTCACCGTAACTGATTGCCCCTGCTTCAGTCAACATTGAGCTGCAGTTCTAGTTGGGAAATGTTAGTGTTGGTACATGTGATGTTTGCCATATGCATTTACTTTGCATGTGCAAGCTTCTGGATCTTGTTGGGGCTGATATGTTTTTCAGTTAGTTTTTAAATAGGATAGTCTTCTTTGTTCTTTGAGTTCACCAGCTGTAAACTCTAGCGGAAAGTTCTGGTTGTTCATCCACCTCTGGACTTTATTAATGTATCAGAATCTGATTGTTGCATGCACATCCATTTTACAGATTCATACATACTGTTTTGCAGACTGTTGGTTCCTTGCCTGCCAGGCAGATGCACTCTGACTTGGATAGCCCCCATTAAGTTGACTCTCAGGACATGCTTGTTGGGGAGGCAGTGAGTCTGTTCCTGTTTTCCCCAAATGGGACATCAGAACCCACACGGGGACAATGGAGCAGTGGAAGGCATTTTATTTCCACTAGCGCAGGAACAGAACATTTATGGGGGTGACCTGTTTGTTGCGAAGTTGGAATACAAGAGTTGTGACTAATAACAAAACCCAAGCGTGACAAGCGTTAACATCACATTAAAAAAACTTGCACACTGTGGGAGTTGGGCATTCTGACCCGTTGTAAACCATTTCTTTTAGTCAGAGCATGTTGAAGAAACCTGGCAGTGTGTTTGTGTTGTCCAGGATGTGCATATTTGACCCGAGTGGAAGTATTACGCTTGTGATTCTCTAGTTGCCATTGTTACCCTCATTAGACAATCGCTGTTATGTTATGAGAGTAGAAAAGTTCAGTATGGCACTAATTATTTTTCTGACATTTATGCCTTCCGCATTTAAACAAGAACAGTGAAAGAACATAACACACTTGAGCAGTGACGATTGTCCAATGATTACAGGTCGCCAGATTCTGCCCTGCAGTCAGGCCTGGAGGCCAAGTCCAAGTTCACACCCACAGGACCCATGCTGTGGAAGGGCTTTATGTCCATGTTGGATGTGGCTAAGTTTTTTACTTCAGCCTACAGTGTCTCCGGCCCCACGGATCATATTGTGAGTACTTCTGCTAACTGTTGTATACCATTGATAGTTTCTCCTACATCTATTTGGGTTGGTTTAAGAACTGACATCACAGTGCTCAGGGCATTCCCATAAGTGCTCCATCCGCATCTTCAGCAGTCAGCACGGAGTTCCAATACCAATGGTACTAGCGGCAATCTGATTAAATGTACGTCTTGCCTTTCCTCTGAGCATTGAGTATTGGCCAGATTCCCTTGTCACTCTCCACTGGTAAGTTCTGTAAAACTACATAGCACACACAAAAGAAAATGCTTTCTGAAATCATGCAAGAGCCATTAAATGTGTGGGTTGGTTCTATGTCCTGACAAGGACATGAACTAACTTTAACTTTTGTTTAGTTTGAGTTTTTCAAATGAATGATATTTTCTGATCTACTTTTCTTCTCTTCATTGTCCTGCTTTGATCTGAGCTTTTCTCTCGGATTGTGTGCTTGAGGCTTTCATGGGTCACAACAGTTTGTCTTGTAGGTTCACCTTGTAGGCTTGATTTTCATCTTCTTGACAAAATCTGAGCTGTTTTTTCAAATGAGATGTGACATTTGCTTGATCTTATCAAATGAGATGTGACAATTACTTGATCTTTTCAGATAAGATGTGACATTTGCTTGAGTGTCAGAGTTTAAGGCGGCAGAGACTCTCAACGTATAGGAACGGAAGTGGACAGTTCACATGTTCTAATCATTTTATATTCTACAGATCTTAGTTTGTTCACTTCTGTCTTTGGTCTGTTGACCAGAACTGCACAGCTAGTCTGGCTATTTTAGCTGTGTTGCTTGAATTGATAGAATGTCTTCACATTTAATAAAACAGCATTCCAACTGTTTGAAGCCATTAAAAAAAATAAAACAGGCAGACACGTATTTAATAACTTCACATTTATGCACACATCATGTAGGTTGTATTTGTGTGACTTTGGATTAATATGTACTTTTGTAAGAGTTTTGCAGCTTGGAGCAGTCTGTTACACATTCTAAAACTGAGTTTATAAAAGGTATCCTACAACAGGAATTGTTCTACATGTTACATATGCGAGGGATTCCACCAAGTCAGTTACCCATTCTACAACTAAATTTGTGAAATGGATCCCACTACTTGGAACATTCTACATCTTGTGGATCCTAGGCTGGGATCGTTAGCTTGGAGCAGTAAGTTACCCATTCTGTAGCTGAGTTTGTGGGACATATTTCACAGCTTTAGGTGCCACTTAGCTGTTCACAGCTGATTTTGTAGAAGTAATTCTATAAATCTAACTTCTGCTAAATATCTAATGTCCAGTCCCCTAGCATCTGTTTAATATATTGTTTTCTGTGACTTTCCTAACATCACATGATTTGTTTTTTCCTCGTCTACAGACAATTCCAGATACCATTAACATTCTAGGCAGAATCTCTCCAGAACAAATGTGGGATTACCTGTCCAAGATACGACAGGCAGGCTCTAAGGTAAGTGCAGCAGGCTGGCCTCTTGTGGTTAGGGGTGTTGGTCACACATGACTGAGCTACCGTCTGACAGTCGTCGGTACTACCTGTTCCCTGCTAAGACACAATATTGAGCGGTGTATGCCAAACCTGACATCCTGCTTATGCCACTTGCTTCACGTCATGCAGGGCGTTGGGGGAGGATACTAGTCTTATCCATGGATGAGGAAATGCAACCTAGTCATTTGTATTTAGGAGTCTGTGCTTTAAAGGATGCTTGCTTTTGCCAGGCCAAGCCAGATGAAGTCAATCACAGTGCTGTGAAATTGGTCCTTATACAGTTAACCCTTTCACCACAAAGCCAACACGTCTGCTTGGTACCATTTTCCCTTAGGATCCAGTTTCCCAACTCGATATAGAGACGTTTTCACAAGACATCTAGCTAACAGAATTTACTACATCTGCATCTGTGCAAATATTCAGCATGATAGGGGATGACTGGGGGGGGGGGGGGGGGTGTTCCTTTTAAAATGAAGACTTTAATAATAGGAATTAAACGCCAGGCCAGACACCCTTCCGCACCGAAGAATGTAAATTATGGGAGCTTGGCTTAGTTTTTCTAGGTCAACAGGCCTTTAAGCCTAATTATATTTCAGATGTAAGTAAAAAAAAAGTAAAGGACCCTTTTCCACGCTTTTAGGCATATAGGGCTAGACCTATATTTTATAGACCAATGGCACAAGATGGGTGATGTGGTCAGCATCACGCCGGCCGCCTTTACTTCCTGGGACTGCACCCGGTACCCACTCAAGGCTGGGTCGACTTGGAAGCCATTTTTTTTAAAAGAAAAGTCCGGCTCTGCCAGGGAGCGAACTCACGAGCTTCCGATCCACGGTGCCACGGCGACCCCCATATTTCAGGTGTAAGAATATGTAATGAATACGATTATGTAATCAGAATTTAGGTTATTCTAAATGTTCTCAGTGTTTGATCAGCTCAAAGCTTTCTTATTATACGTTGACATATTTGATTGTTTTGTTTTCTTGTGATCCAGGATTTGACAGTTGTGAGGTTCATCCCAGGAAATGACGACCAGAAAGTGGCTTATATTCACCTGTATTCCTACCTGAACAGCAGAAGTCGCTGTGGGGTGGCAGCCAGCACCAACAAGCAGATCAAAGACTTCTACATCATACCCCTGGCATCACACAGCAAGATTCCCCTCACTCTGCTCCCATTCGACGGCCCAGGTAACCTTGATCATTCCATGGTTTCATCTCATCAGCATGTCCAGGGCTGTTTTAGAAATAGTCAGTGTTGATCAGTCTCCTGTTGTGCCATTGTATGTCATATAAGGCTCACAGTCTAATTGTGGCTGTCTGCAGTATTAGCTCTTGTGTTAATTTGGTGACGTCACTTCCTTAGTCGAACGCAAAACGGATGACACATGTATTTCAATGTGTTTTCGGTTTTATTTTTCTTATCTTCTTCTTCTTCTTCTTCACTTTCTCTTTTACCGCTGTGGGTGTCGAGGGAGATATAAGGTTCTGTTTCTAGCTCTTTCTTCTCTTTCCATGTATGCTTTGTATGGTATGGTGTCACAAGGCATTCTCTCTAAGTGGGCAAACCATTTCACTTGCTGTCTTTGTATGTAATCCAGAATTAGTTCTGTGCCGACTTGTTCTCTTATGATCTCATTCCTGATCTTATCTCTTATGGTCACTCCTACAGCCCTTCTCAGACAATTTTTCTTATCACAAAGTAATATTTATAAGTTTTAAATAAGTGGATTCATCTCCACATCAGATGCACTTATAAGTAATGTTTCAGGGCATAGATTTAGTAAGTTATTTCTGTGATTTGCTTTGGATTTATCTTCAGTGTGTTTGTTTTCATGGAACTATGCCTGCCTAATTTTCTGTACCTGAGTTTCGCTCGAATTATGATTTGTCTAGTGGATATGTATATGTGTTTATATTTCCTTTGGATTCTCTTTGTGGAATGGTCACAGCTTGAAAATCTTGTAATTCATTACAATGCCTGTGTTTATAGTAAAATTTAATGCCTAGATAGCCTCACAGATTTAGTGGAAGAAGCAAAAAAATATTTTAGAGTGCCGCAGAGCAACAGTAGACTTCTAATGGGACAGCTGATAAAGTGACTGACACACAAGTAAACTTTCTTGCAGAGCAGCTGCAACTGTTAACCGTGTAAAAAAACAGAAGGCTTTACAGTTGTAGCACATTATGTTTCGCTTTTAAACTGCTGATGAAATCTCCAACATGCTACCAGTTTATAAGAAAATCTGATATGTTGTGCCTGCCCCATTAAAGAACACTGCACAATTTAACTTCACAGTTTCAGCGTCTGCTTATACTGGCAACGTCTCACAGTACTTAAAATTGAAACAAGACAAACTGAGTATAACATGTGATCTGTTTGCTGACGACTGTACAATATATACTAGTCAGACAATTGTAATGAATTAATGAACTTTCTTCACAGAAAGAAAATAGACAAACTTATAAAATGGAGCAATGATAATCGCATGCAAATTAACATTAACAAAACTAAATCTATGGTGATAACAACTAGGCAAAAGCTACAAACATTAGCTTTACACAAGCCACCGCTTGAGCTCTTCATTGACAAGCTACCTATTGTTAATGTAGTTGAACACAAAACATTAGGTGTTTTAATTGACAGCCATCTAACTTGGAGTTCCCATGTTCATGCCATGACCAAAAAAGTAGCTCAAAAAGTATATCAACTTGGAAAAATTCAGCACTTTCTGGATGAAAATACACATAATATATTTTACGTATCCTACATTCAAACGCATATTGACTATTGTTCCACAATTTGGGATGGCTCCTCCAAATCTAATGTCAAACGGCTGAGTTCTCTACAAAATAGGGCCTTATGCCTAGTTTCCGATATTAACTACGTCGAGAAAAATCTTTTAAACGGACATCTAAAGGCTTCTGCCATTTAGAAAACGTTTAATTTTTAAAAAGGCAAAATTTATTCACAAAATCCTAACTAAAGATACTCCAAATTACATCGACCGATTTATTCAATCTAATCCTAAGAATTGCATGTGACTAGGTTTATTACATTTGCCTAAACCCAGAATTGATTTATTTAAAACAAGTCTATCATATTCTGCTGCTCATTTATGGAACCATCTTCCACTCGATCTGAAAACTACAAAGAGTCCCTCCTCATTTAACCGCAAACTCTTTCATTTTTACGATTACAAGTGATTACATGCCACCTTAAATGTAGTTAATTATCCACAATGCATTACTAGTTATAATTAATTACAGTGTGTATGATATGTTTGTATGCGTATATGTGTGACAGGCAGGCGGGTTTAGGCGTATTTGTGTATGTATGATTCTGTGTATGTATGGGTAACTGTATACGTTTGTGTGTATGTCTCTGTGTGTGGGCGTGTGTCTGTGAGTGTGTCTGTGCGTCTGTCTGTATGGTGTCTACGTGCATATCTGTAGGTGTGCCTGTGAGCGTGTCTGTTTTTGTGTCTCTGTGTTGGTTCGTCCATATGCGTGTTTTTATGTGCATATGTATGTGTGTCTATAAGCGTGCCTGTGTGCGTGTCAGTTGGTGTTGTGTGTCTGTGTGTGTGTTTTTGTATGTGTATCTGTATGTGTGGCTGTGGGTGTAGTGTGGGTGTGGCTTGTTTGTGTGTGTGTCTGTCTGTTTGTGTGTACCTATGTTTTGTCTGTAGGTGTTTCTGCGTGTGTGTCTGTGTGTCTATGCCTGCGTGTGTCTGTGTGTTTCTCTGGGTGTTGTTTCGTGTGTATTTGTTTGTTCATCTTTTTGATAGTGTGTGTGTGTGCGCGTGTGTCTATGCGTGTCAGTGTGTGTGTGTGTGTGTGTGTGTGTGCCATTATGTGTCTGTAGGTGTGTGTGGCTGCATGTGTGTCTGTGGCTGTGCCTGGCTTTGTGTGTATCTGTGTGAGTCTCTGTCGGTATGTCTGTCTGTCTGTCTGTGTGTGTGTGTGTGTGCGTGCGTGTGTGCATGTTCGTATGTATGTGGATGTATGTGTGAACTGGGTGCCTATATGTTTGTGTGTAAGTGAGTGAATAGGTTTGTGTGTGTATGTGGGTGTGTGTGTTTGCACGCAAGCGTGCGCACATATTTTACCACCCATGCTTTTGTTTTTGACTTCATATCCACAATATGCATATTATTACATGATTATAACATGCTTCATTGATGAAATACAACTGCTGTGTGGAAGATGGAAGTTTGGAAGGGCCGAATGTAAGACAGGCCTGTGTGCCTAATTTGTAACCCTTTGAAAATAAAGTTTGTTCGTTTGTTTGTTCGTTCGTTCTATACCGTGACACAAGGCTGTCAAGAATCTTATCTTCTACTCCTGTCTGTTTTCATAAATATTATTTAGTTGTCACATTTTCCAAACTGTTTCTTACTGCATGAAAAAAAATTATTTATGTTTATTTTTGATGTATGTGGTAAGTTGTCCTTTTATCATAACCTCTTCCAGATTAGTTTATAAACAATTTTAGATGCCTATGACATTTTCCTAATTTATTCCTTAAAAAACCCACACCTCTTAGGCTGTTTTGTGTGTGGCTTGTTTAGTATTTATCCAGAAGCCACAGTCATATGTTAAAATAGATTACAATTCTTCTTCTTCTTCTCTTCTCCTCATTCTACTCTTCCCCCATTCTGCTTCTTCTTCTTCTTTTTCTTCTTCTTCTTTTCTTCTTCTTTTTCTTCTTCTTCTTTTTCTTCTTCTTCTTCTTCTTCTTCTTCTTCTTCTTCTTCTTCTTCTTCTTCTTCTTCTTCCTCCTTCTTCTTCCCCTTCTTCTTCTTCTCCTCCTTCTTCTCCTTCTTCTCCTTCTCCTCCTCCTCCTTCTCCTTCTCCTCCTTCTTCTTCTTTTTCTTCTCCTTCTCCTTCTCCTCCTCCTCTTCTTCTTCTTCTTCTTCTTCTTCTTCTTCTTCTTCTTCTTCTTCTTCTTCTTCTTCTTCTTCTTCTTCTTCTTATCCACCGACTGTAAACTTTTTCAGAAAAATCTTGTTATTTGTCCACTTCTGCACTCTGACTTCAAAGTAAACACCCCTAAATAGTTGTCTTTTACAAAATACTTTTTGTGGTCTATAGTTTGTCTGTTCATTTTTCTCCGTGAAACCCACACAGGGAGGATTTTTTGCAACATGCATAGATTTCCTTTCTAACCTCCAATGGCAAGTTTTTGTTACATCCAGTATTCTTGATTTGATTAAATAATGTTATCCTCCTGTTTTATAAATCTTCAGAAATTGTTTCTGCAGTTTTGCTCACCTAGTGAATAGCAGACATTTAACATCCTGTGTGTTTATGTCATTTCTGCACAGTGGTAGCTTAGTCTGTGACCAGGTCATGATTCAGCATAGCTGACTGACTAGGGTTAGGCCTTTGCTGCCAATGCCACTCTCACAGGTTTGAGGTATTTCAGTGTCAACCAGCTCTAGCTCAATGTCAATGAGGAATGGTTTATCCATTTTTTTCTATGTTTTTCTAGGTTTGGAAGAGAACCGTCCCCACATGTTGATAGGTGTCTTGGTTCGCCAAAAGGGCAAGCAGGCTATAGACACCCCTGATGCAGGAAATGTTGGAAAATCTGGCACCTCTGTGAAATCTGGAAGCCAGAGCAGCTCTGTAAGCAGATCTGGTAGCAGTTCTAGCAGTGGAAAACCTGTCAGTCATAGGAGCACGGCAAGCAGCAGCACAAAACTGGTGACTCCAGTAGTCAGTAGAGATCCACGCCTGGCAAAGCTGGCGGCCCGGGAAGCTAGTGTGAGTATACTAGGTTATATTTGGTGATTTTACGTTGCTCAGCATGCAGACTGTTGTCTGACTAGAGCTTTGGTTAAACACAAATGAGCATGTTCTTGAGATATGAATGCGGTTTTGTTCCAAGGCATTTCACACACCTATAGGAAATGAAATTAATCCAGTGAACTGTAACTGAAAAGCTTAACCAAATAGGAAAGCAGAACAGGCTGCACCTGTTGGTCCTGGCCAACCCCTCATTGGTCCAGGTGTGCCCCTGATTGGTCCTGTGTGCCCCTGATTGGTTGATGCCAACCCCTAATTGATCCAGTCCAACCCCTCATTGGTCCAGGCCAACCCCTCATTGGTCCAGGCCAACCCCTCATTGGTCCAGGCCAACCCCTCATTGGTCCAGTCCAACCCCTCATTGGTCCAGTCCAACCCCTCATTGGTCCAGGCCAACCCCTCATTGGTCCAGGCCAACCCCTCATTGGTCCAGGCCAACCCCTCATTGGTCCAGGCCAACCCCTCATTGGTCCAGGCCAACCCCTCATTGGTCCAGTCCAACCCCTCATTGGTCCAGTCCAACCCCTCATTGGTCCAGTTCAACCCCTCATTGGTCCAGTCCAACCCCTCATTGGTCCTGGCCAACACTTCATTGGTATAGGCCAACCCTTCATTGGTCCAGGCCAACCCCTCATTGGTCCAGGCCAACCCCTAATTGATCCAGTCCAACCCCTCATTGGTCCAGGCCAACCCCTCATTGGTCCAGGCCAACCCCTCATTGGTCCAGTCCAACTCCTCATTGGTCCAGTCCAACCCCTCATTGGTCCAGTCCAACCCCTCATTAGTCCAGGCCAACCCCTCATTGGTCCAGGCCAACACCTCATTGGTCCAGGCCAACACCTCATTGGTCCAGGTGAGCTCCCAATTTCTGTGTAGAATTTGTTCAGGAAAGCCAGCATGGAGACTGGCATGTAGAAACTCAGTCAGTAATTTAAGACATTTAGCATATTCCTACCAACTTTGTGCTATCGATGCAAGACATGGACAGTTGTAGAAAAATATAAACGCAAAATTACAGCAATTGAGATGAGATATATAAGAAATGCAGCGGTGAAGCCACAAAGAAACAGTCATCAATGAAAAAACTGAGACAGTAGTAACCACACAACCACATAATTTCATAGATCATCAAACAGTAAAATGGTTTTGTCATTTAGTCAGACTAAAACAGTCAGCCAGCAGCTATAGTGTACTACATAAGAACTACAGGCTACAAAGCAATAGACTGACCAAGAAAGATATGGGCAGAGAGAGAAAGAGATACTACAGAAACACAACATGACATTAAGCACAAGCTACACAGCTAGCTAATGGCAGCATATAACTGCGATGATTTGCAGCATGATCAATTGGAAGAAGCATAGAGATTCTGAGACCATCTGAGATTTGCCGCATCTGAGACCAAAATCCTGTCACATGACACCTTGTTGATAGTATCTGATTGGGTAATTCCTTATGTGAAAGACATTATCCTTGTGATCCCTTTGTAGTTTATTTTTGTCATCACATGTGCAGCTGTCTAGTGTCTAATAGTGCTTTGACTTGTATTTGTTTGTTTGTGTGTGCAATTTTGCTAGAAAAACAGCCAACATGCAGACTGGCATCTTGAAACTCTGTCATTTCAGACATTTGGCACAGAGATTCAAACATCTCTGGCTACAACTGAGACCATGTAAAGTCCTGTCACATGACACCTTGCTGATATCTGATTGGGTAATTCCTTATGTGACAGACATGATGGCTGTGAACCCTCTATGGTTTGTTTCTGTAATCACATGTTCAACTGTCAATGTCTGTCTGTCTGCAGCCAAAGGTCAGCCCAGCAGAGAGCACAATCTATGTCACTTCAACATCCGCAGACACCACAGAGGCACTTGTAGAGGAGTACGAACCAGAGTATGTCCCGATGCCTATCAATACGAAGAGTGAGTACTTATTTAAGAGATCTTTCATAATTATCCTGCAGCATGCTCTTGTACTGCATGAAAGTCCAGTTTTATTCTCTTCATTGACAACATTTTCATATATCTGAACTACCGACACACCATGTGTCACTTGAAGTGGGTACAAATTAGGTCAGATCTAGTAGCTCCGTTGAGAAAGGCTGTGAAAGTACTCAATGTTGTGTATGTAATCAAAGTCCCAGATCTGCAGGCTTCCTCCTGCTGGCTTCTAAGGGGTCACCTGTCATAAATGAGAGGCCCGCTGTACAGGGCTGAGATTAAATAGTCATCAACAGGATGTGACGACTCATTGGGTAAACCCAGTACCAGAGCGCCATAAATCAGCTCTGCAGTTGCATTTGTCGAAGCCTCTTTGGATGGCGGGTTATGCTCATGTTTTGCCCCTGCCTTCTCCTGAGAGCTGACCAGCATTACGTGGCTGCTCTTGACAGGCCTCATGAGGAGGGATGGGGGTCAGGCACCACCTTTGAAGGCCAACCCCGACAACAGTGAGACTGCAGTGTCCTGGGAAGGCTAACCCCGACAACAGAGAGACTGCAGTGTCCTGGGAAGGCCAACCCTGACAACAGTGAGACTGCAGTGTCCTGGGAAGGCTAACCCAGACAACAGTGAGACTGCAGTGTCCTGGGAAGACCAACCCTGACAACAGTGAGACTGCAGTGTCCTGGGAAGACCAACCCCGACAACAGTGAGACTGCAGTGTCCTGGGAAGGCCAACCCCGACAACAGTGAGACTGCAGGGTCCTGGGGGAAGACCAGTGAACTGCAGTGTCCTGGGAAGGCCAACCCCGACAACAGTGAGACTGCAGTGTCCTGGGAAGGCTAACCCCGACAACAGTGAGACTGCAGTGTCCTGGGAAGACCAACCCCGACAACAGTGAGACTGCAGTGTCCTGGGAAGGCCAACCCCGACAACAGTGAGACTGCAGTGTCCTGGGAAGACCAACCCCGACAACAGTGAGACTGCAGGGTCCTGGGAAGGCTAACCCAGACAACAGTGAGACTGCAGGGTCCTGGGAAGGCTAACCCCGACAACAGTGAGACTGCAGGGTCCTGGGAAGGGTAACCCAGACAGCACTGAGAGTGCAGTGTCCTGGGAAGGCCAACCCTGACAACAGTGAGACTGCAGTGTCCTGGGAAGGCCAACCCCGACAACAGAGACCTGCACAAGTCAGATGTATCTGTAGGAATTTGTACGTTGTAAGTTGATCTGGAAAAAATGATTTGCCATACATGGTTAAATGTATACTTTTGTGAGATACCTGGCAAGTTGTATTGATTTGTGATACGTGGTTAGATATATTATTTTGTTATACATGGTTGTGATATAATAATTTGTGATACGTGGCTGTGATATGTGGTTAGAGGTATTGATTTGTGATACATGGTTAGCTGTGCTGATTTGTGATACGTGGTTAAATGTATTAATTTGTGATTCATGGTAAGATATATTATTGTGTGGTACAATGTTAGATGTATTAATTTGTGATACTTAATGTAATGTTTTGCTGTGTTTCATGATATTGCTCTGTATTCATGGTGACATAGACATTGATGTGTTTGTTGTCCAACAGATGCCTACAAACCAGTGGCTGAGTACATACCCACACCAACAGTGAAGAAGAAAACCGTGGAGAAAGAAACAGTTGTGGATAGAAAAGAGAGAATGCCACAAGCCAGGGATGTGTCAGATAGAAACAGCAAGGCAAGAAAAGAGAAATACCGCTACCCGCCAGAGAAAAAGGTTGAGAAGAAGGAAGAAGTTGAAGGTATGGATTGTTGTTGGCCGTTATACACCGTTGTGTCATGTCCCGTCTGAAGGATCTCCAGAGTGGAGGTTTCCTAGTCACAGGCCACTCGAGTTCAGGGTCACACATGACTGCAGGAGGCTATTATTATGGTCATCATTATCATCAATATTTTTTTTAAGGATTTGAAATACAAGTGCACCCCCCCCCCCCCCCCCCCCCCCCCCCCCACTCTTTGTTTTTTAAAAACAGTTTGAAACAAAAAATGTTCTTCCTTGATTTCTGATTCAAATGCAGATCTGGTTGTGTTTCCTGCATTCTTGCAGATCTGGTTGTGTTTCCTGCATTCTTGCAGATCTGGTTGTGTTTCCTGCATTCTTGCAGATCTGGTTGTGTTTCCTGCATTCTTGCAGATCTGGTTGTGTTTCCTGCATTCTTGCAGATCTGGTTGTGTTTCCTGCATTCTTGCAGATCTGGTTGTGTTTCCTGCATTCTTGCAGATCTGGTTGTGTTTCCTGCATTCTTGCAGATCTGGTTGTGTTTCCTGCATTCTTGCAGATCTGGTTGTGTTTCCTGCATTCTTGCAGATCTGGTTGTGTTTCCTGCATTCTTGCAGATCTGGTTGTGTTTCCTGCATTCTTGCAGATCTGGTTGTGTTTCCTGCATTCTTGCAGATCTGGTTGTGTTTCCTGCATTCTTGCAGATCTGGTTGTGTTTCCTGCATTCTTGCAGATCTGGTTGTGTTTTCCTGCATTCTTGCAGATCTGGTTGTGTTTCCTGCATTCTTGCAGATCTGGTTGTGTTTCCTGCATTCTTGCAGATCTGGTTGTGTTTCCTGCATTCTTGCAGATCTGGTTGTGTTTCCTGCATTCTTGCAGATCTGGTTGTGTTTCCTGCATTCTTGCAGATCTGGTTGTGTTTCCTGCATTCTTGCAGATCTGGTTGTGTTTCCTGCATTCTTGCAGATCTGGTTGTGTTTCCTGCATTCTTGCAGATCTGGTTGTGTTTCCTGCATTCTTGCAGATCTGGTTGTGTTTCCTGCATTCTTGCAGATCTGGTTGTGTTTCCTGCATTCTTGCAGATCTGGTTGTGTTTCCTGCATTCTTGCAGATCTGGTTGTGTTTCCTGCATTCTTGCAGATCTGGTTGTGTTTCCTGCATTCTTTCTTGATGCACTTTATTATCCTCTCAACTGAAGACAAGGAAACAACTTTCTACACTGGAGATCATTCCACAGGCTCTTAGTCTCACCTGGCAGACTATAGAGTGTTGGAACATAGGCTCTTGCCTAGTTTGTTGTTGACCTAAGTACCATGTTCATCATCTAATGCCTTTTGTCAAGCCGTTGTAAAATCAGTATAGCCTGGACAGTAGCATGAGTTGAAACCAGAAGTAGAACTAGTGGCATTACCTAGTCATGAGTAACAGATGAACACTGCAGCTGTCACCCTTTGCCAGCATGTGACAACAATGGACAGTGATACAAGAATACACAAAATTTAGCCAGGACAGTGGTGGCCAGGACAGTGGTCGCCAGGACAGTGGTAGCCAGGACAGTGGTGGCCAGGACAGTGGTGGCCAGGACAGTGATTGCCAGGACAGTGGTCGCCAGGACAGTGGTAGCCAGGACAGTGGTGGCCAGGACAGTGGTGGCCAGGACAGTGGTCGCCAGGACAGTGGTGGCCAGGACAGTGGTGGCCAGGACAGTGGTCGCCAGGACAGTGGTAGCCAGGACAGTGGTGGCCAGGACAGTGGTCGCCAGGACAGTGGTCGCCAGGACAGTGGTCGCCAGGACAGTGTTGGCCAGGACAGTGGTAGCCAGGACAGTGGTGGCCAGGACAGTGGTAGCCAGGACAGTGGTGGCCAGGACAGTGTTGGCCAGGACAGTGGTGGCCAGGACAGTGGTGGCCAGGACAGTGGTCGCCAGGACAGTGGTGGCCAGGACAGTGGTGGCCAGGACAGTGGTGGCCAGGACAGTGGTCTGTATGGCTGACTGAATTTGATTGTTAGCTGCCATTTCTTGTACTATGTTCTTTCATTTAGCTGAGTTATCACATCAGTAGATATAGTACATGTCTGCATAATACATCTGTGAAGCTCAACAGTGAACAGACTTCAGTTCCCTAGACTCACAGCCTCCCCAACAAGCATGTCCTAGCAGTCAACAAACTGGGAGTTCCTTTGAAGTTGGAGTACTGCCTGAGAGGCAAGGGAACAGCAATTTGCACATATATAAGTCATATCTGTAAAATGGATGTGCACACAACACTTGGTTCCAGGTAACAGACTTCAGAATCAAACCACAGTAAATATCTGTACCTGTTAGGAGACATAGATTCTTATATTCTCATTACATGTGACCTCACTGGCTCACCCAGGTCAAACAGACACTCCATATAAGGCTTTGACATGGGACAGGAATTCTTTACACTGAGTTCAGTAGCCTCTGCAGGCTGGGCTGTGTTAGAGCCCTGACTATTTCAAGTAGAGAAACATTGTGTAGTCTGGACAGCTGGTAACAGTAAGGTACTCTTGTCATGCTAGTGGCACATTGGCCATCTAAGACCATCAGCACTCGATTGGTAATATCGCTGATATCACACCGGCAGCTTTTACTTCCCATACCTTGTACCATTTTTAGGCTGCATCAATCTAGAAGCCAAGTCATTTTAAAGGCCCAAAAAAAAAATCTTATTTTATCCGGATCTGAACCCAAGATCTTCAGACCGACAGGCGAGCATCTAAAGACTCTCCTACTGTGGCTTCCCTTATCGGACGAAAACCTCAAAGACTGACTCCCAGTAGACTGCAAAGAGACATGCCATAGAAAACAGCACAGAGACATTTCCATGTAGGCATAAAAAACACTTGCTATGGAAGCCATCAGAGACAGACTCCCAGTAGACACCTGCCACGAAAGACATCAGAGACAGACTCCCAGTAGACACCTGCCACGAAAGACATCAGAGACAGACTCCCAGTAGACACCTGCCACGAAAGACATCAGAGACAGACTCCCAGTAGACACCTGCCACGAAAGACATCAGAGACAGACTTAAAGTAGACACCTGCCACGAAAGACATCAGAGACAGACTCCCAGTAGACACCTGCCATTGAAGACATCAGAGACAGACTGCCAGTAGACACCTGCCATTGAAGACATCAGAGACAGACTCCCAGTAGACACCTGCCATGAAATACATCAGAGACAGA